CTGCGTGCAGCGCCGAGCAAAGACGGAAAGCACGACTCGCCCAGCCCCTCGACTGCGACAGCCTCAGCTGCGCAGTACTTACAAGTGCCGCCGCAAGTTGCCAAGAAGAAAAGCGTGGTAAGACTCCCCCCTTCTATCCTTCCAAAGTGGCCAGCCACTGATGAGGCTAAAGCTTCCCGAGCAAGCGAGTCGAACAGAGCTCATCGCACCTTGAGAAAAACTCGAGAAAAGCCCCGCTGTTGCAAGCGTCGTTTCAAGGACGGTCTCCCATCTTGTCTCTCGGGAGATGAAAAACGGTCGGAAAGGAAGACAGATACTCCACCTCAGCTCGGCAAAGCATCCTCCAGACCTCGATACAACACGACATAGACATCCATGCGGTGGGCCCAGGTACGGCAGGTTCGCGTCGTGTCGACCCCGGCGTTGGTTCCGGACACCGCGGGGATCGTTCAAACTTGGACGATCAGCCGTTCCGTGAACGCCAGATCGTTCAACGACGGGCCGATTCTGTGCCACAGGCGGCGTTCAACCTGAAACGCCCGCGCTGGGGTCGCCGCTGGTCGACGCGACGCGAACCTGCCGTACTTCCATGCGCCACAGGACTCGCAACGGCTCCCGGAAATCCGCCGCCATGCCCCCGGGCAGGCCGAGGCGTGGCAGACTGCCAAAGCGCTGCCTGCTGGGGTCCCCGTGGATCCCTCAGGGGACCACTTCCTGCGGCAGAGTCGTGTTCTGCCGACCTCGGCGTTGGCTCCCGACACCGCGGGGATTGTTCAGCCTGGAGCGATCGGCCGTCTCCGGAACTAGGAAGGCACCAACTATACACCAACACCGATCCTGGCCAGGATCACCCTGGGCCCAGGATCGGTGTATACGCCCTCCTGCCTTGCGCAAGAACGCATCTACACCGATCCTGGGCCCAGGCTGATCCTGGGCCAGGATCGGTGTTGGTGTATAGTTGGTGCCCTCCGAAGAACGTCAGATCGTTCAACATCGACCGATCCTGGGCTGCCAGCGGCGCTCCACGCCGAACGCCCGCGGCGGGGTCGCCGACGGTCGACGCGACGCGAACCTGTCGTACCCACACCTTCCCTGCAGGCGTCGCGCCCCCTCTCCTGGGGGCTCCCTTGGCGGCCGGACGCGCACCCACGAACCTCCAGGACTATCCCCAGGCGGAGTGGGCGGCCCGGCCAAGAGACAGCCCAACACCGCCCAGGAGGCACCCAGCAGCGCCCCAGGAGAACCCCCGGGAAGCGCCAGGGACGCCCAAAAAAGGGCTCCAAGACACCTAAGAGAAGGGGCCCTTCAGGCAGGCCCAAACCAGTCCAGAATCCTAGGAAGCCCTTCTGTGCTTGAACATCTCATGCTTCCAGCCCTCTCGGCTCAAGATGTTTCCAAGACCCCAACGAGAACACCAAGAAACCTTCCAGACAGCCCAAGATAGCCCAAAGAGGCCCCAGGAAGGCCACAGTGAGGCCCAGGACAGCCCAAGAGGGCCTCAAGATGGCCCAAGAGGGCCCGAAGAGGCTCCCAAGACAGCCCCACGAGACTCCCCCGATGGCCGCGAGGGCCCAAGACGGCCCAGCCCAGAATGGCACCAAGACGGCACCAGAGGGCCCCAAGAGTCCTCAGTTGGCCCCAAGACGGCATCACGGGAGCCCAAGACAGCCCCAACCCTGCCCGAATACGCTCCTCAAGGAAGGGGGGCGAGGTGCCGAGAGGTTGTCACATGCTGCGGCCTTCTGGGCGGCGCTCAAGGCGTCGCCGCGCAGAGCACGTGCTGGCACGGCGGCAGAAAGCCCACCAGCCCTCTGGGCGTGGGTGGTTGAACCAGTTGTGTGTTCTCTCCCTGCGGCGTCCGTGGGTCGTTCCCCTGCTCGAGGGAGGGGTTTATCACTTTTCCCTGTCAATATACACCCCCTCCCCCAGGCGACTGGCAGCCAACCAGGAACACTGAGGACACCATGCTCACCCCCTCCCACCAAAAAAAACTGGCAAAACGCACTCTGCCTCCACATTTGGAGCATGCGCGGCCAACCCGACGCGCCCCCCACCATCCGTCAAAAAACAATACAACATACACTTCGGGGCAAAGTCTGGAGTCATGTCGTGAGGCCCGCGGGCATTTTGTATTGTTCTTGACAGGGACGGTTGAAGTGTCAGCATATTGCCTGCTGTGCGCAGGGCTACCATCCCTGACAAAAAAATACAAAAAGCACCTCGCGGCAAAACCTGGGTCACGCTCGGCCACCCAGCGATCACTGTCAAGTGGTTTTTGATTTGGACGGCGGGGGGTGGTAACGTATGGCCTGCTGTGTGCAGTCCCACCAGACACAATGATGAGCATTGGTTTTTGACAAAGATGGTGGGAGCCGACATGTTTCCCGATGTGTGCTGGCACGTGCGCAGGCGCACCTGACAAACTCTGCACGTGCCCCGAACGTGGCGCACCTGGCGCGGCTGGAGTATGCGGCACATCTTGCGCACGCGGAGCACGTGTCGCATCTGGCGCACCAGGCGTGCCTGGCACGCGCGGGCCCCAGGGGTGCCTAACGCGCGTGGCGCGCCTGGCACGCGGGGCGCACCTCGCCCCAGCGTCGCGTACTCGATTTTGGTTCCCAGTAGCTGTCCGTCCAAAGACGACCGCTGAACATGATCAAGACGGCTTGCTATCTAGGAGGGTGCCGTGATAACTGTTCCCTATTAATACACACCCCCTCCCCCAGGCGACTGGCAGCCAACAGGAACAATGAGGGTCCCCCCCACCATCCCTGTCAAAAACCATACAAAAGCTCTCTGCCTCCAAATTTGGAGCACGCACGGGCAACCCGATGCAGCCCACCCCATCATCCCTTGGAAAACAAACATTACAAAATACACTTTGGGGCAAAGTGTCCGTGAGGCCCGCGGGAACTTTGCTTTGTTTCTTGACAGGGGTGGCGGGGGTGTCAGCATATTTCCTGCTGCGCGCAGGGCTACCATCCCTGACAACGAACAATACAAACTGCACCTCGCGGCTGAATCTGGATCATGCGCGGCCGCCCCGCGATCACTGTCAAGTGGTGGCGTATGGCCTGCTGTGCGTAGGCCCACCAGACACAATGATGAGCATTGGTTTTTGACAAAGATGGTGGGAGCCGACATGTTTCCCGATGTGTGCTGGCACGTGCGCAGGCGCACCTCTCTGCACGTGTCCCGAACGTGGCGCACCTGGCGCGGCTGGAGTATGCGGCACACATGGCGCACGCGGAGCACGTGTCGCATCTGGCGCACCAGGCGTGCCTGGCACGCGCGGGCCCCAGGGGTGCCTAACGCGCGTGGCGCGCCTGGCACGCGTGGCGCACCTCTCCCCAGCGTCGCGTACTCGGTTGTGGTTCCCAGTAGCTGTCCGTCCAAAGACGACCGCTGAACATGATCAGGCTCGGGTGTTACGAATGAGTGAGCAAGACGGCTTGCGGGAGGGTGGGTAGCTTGACCCGTCCACAATTACACAATATGAATACAACTCTCCTCTCTCCAGTGGTGGCGTCCGGGAAATGGTCTGCCCCCCTTCGCGCACGGAATTTTTGCACACACAAGATTCCCGGGAAACGGGTTTTCGCTTGGGTGTTTTTCAAAACGCTGCTCTCGCAGAAACGCTGGCTTAATTTTCGGGCTACCGCTCGTTCCGAATCGTGCTCCAGCTGCAGCGCTGGCATCATTTCCGCGCTCCCATTCGTTCCGAATCGTGCTCCCGCTGCAGCGCTGGCGTCATTACTTCCAGCGCCATGCCACGGCATGGTGTTCAGCCCTTCCAAACAAGCACCAAAATCTAAAAAATCGCCCCCGAAGAAACCATCGGAAGTGATTACGCAGTCGGTCTCGATTCGTTGATTTTGGGGGCCGCAGAGGCCCCCCTCCCACTTTGGGGCGTCGCCACGCCATGCTATGTCAGGCTACGCGTCCTCATATCCGCGCTTCCGCGCTTGAGCTTATTTTCTAAATGATGCTCTCGCTGAAGCGCTGGCCTCATTTTCGGGCTCCCGCTCGTTCCGAATCGTGCTCCCGCTGCAGCGCTGGCCTAATTTTCGCGCTTCCACTCGTTCCGAATCGTGCTCCTGCTGCAGCGCTGGCGTTATTGCTTCCAGCGCCATGCAACGGCATGGTTTTCGGCCCTTCCAAATAAGTTTCAAAATTTAGAAAATGCCCCCCCCGAAAAAACCATTGGAAGTGATTCATTCGGTCTCGATTCGTAGATTTTGGGGGCCGCAGAAGCCCCCCCACTTTGGGGCGTCGCCGCGCCATGCTGTGTCATGCTACGCGTTGACCCTCAACACCATGATATGCCATGTAATGCTATACCATGTAGTGCCATGCCATGCTACGACATCCGATTGTGCGAGTAGAGAGGAGATCTACGCCATGGTAAGGGATGGGAGGGAGGGGTGTGACGTCAGATATGACGCGAGCGCACCTAGCTTGACCTACCCCCTCCCCTAGGCCTCGGGGGGGGGGGGGCCAGGCAGTTAGAGTTTCAAGATGAGCCCAAGATGGCTCCAAGAGGGCCCTCGGCAGCCCAAAACGGGCTTCAAGACGGCTCAAAGATAGCCGCAGATGGTTCAAGATAGCCTCCTGCATACTTCCAAGAGGCCCCAAGACAGCCCCAAGACGGTTCCAACTACGCTTCGAGCCTTCCTAGGCACCCTCAACGAGGCAAAAATCATTCCAAAACCGAAGGAGAATCAGTGTGTTTTGCCTCCTCGCTGTTTCGCTTCCGACGAGCTGTTGAGGCCTCAAGATGGCCCCAAGATGGCCCAAGAGAGTCCCAAAAGGACCTCAAGAGCGCCCCAAGACGGCCACAAGAGCGCCCAAGAGACGCCCAAGAACGACCCCGGAGGGCCCCAAGACGCCATTGTTGATTCTCCGAGGGGGGGCCTGAATTGCCCCCCTCAGATTTTCGAGCCATGAGGGCCAAGAGGTGTCCAAGACCAATCCAATGAGCCCCAAGAGGGACCCAAGAC